AGGTTAAAGATTCACATTAAAAAACAGAATTACAACTTGATTCTTAGATGTTGAGAAGTATGGCATGTCATTAACTACTCTTTTCTCCTTGACATTGCTATGATTTAGTGCTAAATCTTGTAAATTTCTCTCATATGTGAGAGTTCTGTGTAGAAAAAATGTGATAGAACTACAACTTGATCCTTGGATGTTGAGAATTATGATATGTCTTTAATTTCTGTTTTCTTCTTGACATTTTTATGGGTTCATTCATTTTTATGACTTTCATTCATCTTCATGCATTTTTTCATTTTTTTTCTATAAAAGGCTTAAAGAAAAATGTTTTTTATTCCTTTGGAACTTTCAAGAAAATTATAAATTTTTTGGCAATGATCAATTGTTCATACTAGTGTAGTTCAAGAACTAAATAAAAACCCGAGTTTCATGAAATACAAATTTATGTTTGTTGAAGAAAAAGTAGTAAGCTAGAAGAAATTAGATGGTTAAACTAACTTTTGGTTGTTCTTGTATCGGCCTTGAATCTCATTGCAATGCATTTGAAGTCATGATATTATCTAGATGTTGATAAGTTGTGTCAAGCAAAAATGATCAAAGGTATGCATGTTGTTTGAAGTGTCAAAAAAGTACATAAGTTAAAGAACAAGCCTATATGATTATGCAATAAAAATCTACTTGATTTATACAAGAGATAAAATGAAAATGGCTACTTATCGCTTATGTCTTAGGTAAATTGTCTAAGTGTATAAGATACACGGTCTATAAATTTGGAAAATAACCTCATTTCATTCAATTATTCTCTTGTTTATGACACTAATGCAAAGAAAAGGGAATAATTCTATGACAATATATTAAAGAAATAGAAACATCTAAAATCAATGGTGGAGTCATAGCTTTTTTTGTGAAATATTCTTGTCAAGTATTTTTAAAGCTTTGCTAGCAGAAAAATATGTGATTTAAAATGCTAATTGTGTTATTGGATTGTGTTAAAATCAAAATCCATTGCACATATGAGAAAAAACTCAAAAACTTAAATCCAAAGTATTAGACAACTAAATTTTATGTATTAATCCAACTGAAGACGTCGACTACTGAGCAACTAAAATTTCTCTATGATAACATTGGTGATTATTATTTGTGCTAATTCTTTTTCAACAAACAAATTGAGAGCGTTAGCAAGGTACAAATCGTTCATTTTGTTACTCAACCGCATTTTTACAATCTTCAATGCTGAGAAAGTGCATTTTGTTGATGCGGTGATGATTGGTAAAGTGAAGGCTATACTGAGTAGTCAAAAAAGAAAATGATATGTAACAGAGTTCTTGACTTCAAACAACTTGACCGCTAAAGCCGAGGGAGATCAAACCCCAAACAAAGTTTTGTTTCACTTCAGCTCAATGAGAAATTGAAAAATCTTTTGTTCTAACATCACACGATCATATTGTTCAAAGTCTTGTGGATACATCCGTCCTAGCTTAACCACTTTTGAGACTTTTTCATGTGTGAGAAGGTGATCTCGACATAGATAGAAAAACTTTTTCTAACTATTACATTTGTGAATCAACAATGATGAAGAAGATACTCACACAAGAATGAATATTGAAGCTTATGGTGTCCCTATAGGAAGAGGTGCTACGCACTTTGTGGTTCCAAAGGGCCGAAGGGCAGACAAATTCCAACGAGTATGTTCCACATGCACATAATTTGATTCCATATTAGTGGCAGTGATGTTTTTTACAAAACAAAAAGATTCAACTGCTCCATGCACCTTACTCCATGCTTCTTCCGATCACAGTATGAATGAATTATAATGTGAATTAACATGTGAAGCATACACCTTCATACTTTGATTACTCTTGATTGAATCCACAATTTGCCATGTCTTCATTAAAAACAATTGACTCTCGAATGCTACAGATGCTAGCAGCTTGCATTTTTTGAAATTGTTTCGTCTCGTTAACAAGAAACATCCACGGTGAGATAATGACGATAGCAAAAAACGACAAACTTTGATGTGGTTCTTGGCTGCTAATATAAGAGCAAGTTGAAGTCAATGCGCAAAATAATGCACATAATATGCTGAAGTAACTTCTCTCTATATAATTGTTTTTAGCACGTTGATGTCTTCACACACATTAGATGCTTCATCATAGTCTTGTCCTCATACATGTGATAACAAAAGATCGTTACGGCTCAAAGTGAAAACAATAAGAGCCATCACCAATTTTGAACGTGTATTGGCAAAATGTATCAAATCCAATAAACTCTCCTGAATTACTTCTGAATTTTGCATAGCCCTATATTTTTAAAAATTTACTCGTGTTAATCTAATTGTAGCTAATACAAATTGATGTATAAACACATGTTTTATATTTTTTCAAAAGTACCATTATATCATTAAGCATGATCCATAAAACAAATTATGCTTTGACATACAATGTTTTTCAAGTATAGAAGATGAATTTTGTTAGTATAGTTACTAAGACAATAAATTGAAAAAATTGTGATATTAAAAATAAAATTCTTTTCAAATTTTTAATCTATCTAGTATGAATTTATTTTACAACTTTGTTATTTTTTTTGCAAAAAGTTATGCTGAAAAAATAGAGTATTATGAATCATAATAATATTAGATAAAAAAATGATTACAATAAAATTCATGATTTTTGAAAATTTTCAAAATCTTTATAAACATGAAATATTATTTAAAAAAATCTATGTTCAAATTCACATCAAATTAAATTCTAAAATTGCATTAATTACTAACAATAATGTTTCATAATTTTTTATTTTGGACAAAAGTATTGATTAAAATATAAATAAATTGCAATCATTATAATGATTCAATGTATTTAGTTTTTACTAAAATTTTATGAATATTCAAAATCTCATATGAAGAGAAATTGAGCTCTATTGCAAACAAATTCGGACATTTTAATTTTTCAAGAAATTAAATAAAATTTGAGTGACTAAAGATATGATATTTGTCTTCTCATCATTGATACATGTTAAGAAAAAAATATTAATATCTTGAATACTATGAAATATTATGAAATTATGAAATAATTTCTTTACCTGAGTTTTGTGTCAAACTTATTTAAACATCAGTTTTCATATATCTTGTGATTATTGAAATGGCTTTTAAAGAAACGATTAAAAAAAAGGCCATATCAAGACACAAGTACGTAGTCTAATTAATAATTCAACATCTTACTGAAATTTATTCTATCATCAATTTGAATTTCGATTTTCAAGGACATTAGCCATAAAAAAATCAAAGAGTTAAGTCACTCTTGTAATACATTTAGCTCGTTTCAGATTTTACATCTCCAGAATCGATTCAAGCAAAAACATGTATGGCTTAAATAGTCAAATATGTGAAATTATCACAAAGCAGGAGAGAATTCCACGAAACAAATTACAAAAATCATGATCATCATGAATATGTTGATCTTAACCTAAAGATTTTTCTAGATTTGATTTTTGATCTTGTTGACTACGCAAGCTCATATATCTTTCGTATTGATTTGCTTTACTGCAATATTGTGGAAGAGTGCATAGAACTTTATGGGACATGTACAATGAGAGGATTGACTACTGATAGATAAAAGAATATTAAAATCATATTTTTTGGATCATTTGATCTCGATACTTGATATAGTGCATTTGATATGTCAAAATCTAGCTCCTGCTCTATTTTGGGTTTGTATGTCTTGACGGTATATCTTAAGTATCAAAATTTACATCAAGCCATCTTCTTTGCTACCCACTTTGCACATTTTTCTTCTGTTTCATTAATTCTACTGTAACATAACTACATTGTAATATGACCACATAGTACGGTCAACTTTTATTCATACGCAATCAAATATATGGTTTTGCGTTTTCACAGAAGAAAAGTTCGAACCACAATACGCTGTTAAGGAATTGAGCGGAAATCAATTAGTTTTCAAGCTACAGACCACGTTCTAAAAATCTGGAAATGTGTATCATATGTGTTATCTTCTAAAGATTGATATATTCTACGGAGTAATATGCATTTTTATTGATTGATTCTCATTGGGATTGATTGGGCATTTTATGTGAAACCTGAGAGTAGGTTTAACATAGCCTCCAAATGCGAGAATTCCTTTAAGCTTGACCAAAGCGACCTTCAATATTTCAGCTTTTATGTAACCTGTTCACGCGAGAAACCCAGTTCCAATATTGCAACCGTAAGAAATTAAAATGTTGCATGCAATATCAATGAGTACAAGCTGATACGCAAGCAATTTGTATCTGGATCTAGGCAAGTGATGTTCTTATAGAATGGAATTTTTGATTCAAAATAATTGACATATGTGATATCGAATCTTAAACGAGAAATGATTCATGGGGGAAACACAACACTTGAAGAAAGTGCACGCGTGCTAACTCTTTTCTTCCTTCAGACAGAGTGATAGCTGCGCATATTATGTGCAAAAACGAGAGCTTCGTCACAGGAGGATCATGTGGTAAGAAATCCTCATAATCATCAGGCTGAACGTGAAGAGTATAATAGCATCAAAGTGGAAACTTAGCATCTACCTCTCGATTCATGTGCAGGATGAGAACCCTTCCAATGCTCCCGAGGCTACTTGTTCATATCGAAGAAATTATCTGACAAGGCTACACGTTGAAGCCTTTCGGTTCGCTTTTAATATTTGCTTGGTCTTATTTCATTCTTATCGAGGTTGCGATCCATAGAACGTTCTAAAAGAGATAAAACATACCGGTGACCTTTCTATGTACTGTGGAACCCTCACAAGACAGCCTTGGGTGGACTTTCGAGTTTCCGGGGTTCTTATTTTTATTTTCTTAATGGATGTACTCTACGCGGTTGTGTATGCCTTTACTTCGTACTTTTTGAGGTCTCAACAACTGGAGCTGCTCCGTTTCTGTATGCCTGGACTCTAAAAGAGCCCATTCCGACCGTACTCCAAATTGGAGACTCTAGGGTTTTAGAAACCCTAAACCTCGTCGTGGTTTCGCCCATGAACTGGGACAGAGGCACTGACGAGGGTTTTGGGCGGAGACTGAAAGCACCAGTTTGGTCAGTCGACTAGCTTTACGGAAGGATTGTCACAGTCTCGGATTCGGCTTTTGCAATCTTTCATCGCTCTGTGAGCGAGGTTGAGCGAGTGAAAGTGTTTTGATTGCAGGGAAGCAGGATGAGGCATGATGGTATGAGGTGAAAATGTGGGAATTTGCGGGGGAGAATTGTTTGAAGCTTCGTAAGTCGAGGGATTGACGGAGAGAATTCAAAATGGGGAAGGTGACTACGGTGAAGAGGAAGCTGCGGTCTGGAGGAGTTGCGACTCCTGCTCCGCAATCGGATTCGGACTCGGATGTTAAGGATGATCTGAAGCTTGACGAAGAGTCAGAGGAAGAATCGCCTTCTAATTCTGATGCCGAGGATGTTTCCGATTCTGATGTATTTGTCTCGGATGACGAGGAAGAAGAAGATTCGGATGCCGACGACGAAGTTGAGAATGCCATGCGGGCATTGTTAACTGCCAACGGTGCTGGGAATTCGGAGGATTCTGATGGAGATGACAGTGATTATGTATCAGGAGGCTCAGATTCTGAATTTGATGACTCGGACGACGAAGGGGATGATTCAGGTTCAGAGGAAGAAGGTGCAGGTGCAGCAGACAATAATGTAGGTGGAAAGGTTGTCGATTCTACATTGGCGAAAGTGAGTGAAGAAAATGCGGGTGAGGGTAATGGAACTGGGGTCAAAGCTGTCGAGGAGAGTGACAGTGAAGATGATGGGGAGCTAAATCCCCGCAACACAATTGGAGATGTTCCCTTGGAATGGTATAGAGATGAAAAACATATAGGTTATGATAAAGATGGAAAGAAAATAACGAAGCAGGAGCGGAAGGATCAATTAGATGCATTCTTATCACGCGCTGACGACTCTAAAGACTGGTAAGACGAAAATTTGTCAACTCTTGAAAGTTTCAGTTCAATCAGTTCGCTTGTCAAACTTATACTTTTTCTGTTGGTGGGCTGGCAAAGAACTCAAATCTGCTATGCACTTATTTGCCTGAAAACAACAGTTGGTTGATATCATGAGTTCAATTGTTTGGCCCGAAACAAACAGCAGGCTAGATGATGACGCGCATTTTTCATCGCCTTTTTAAGCCTTCTTGCAAGCTTTACCCCTTTGCGTGGGCTTGTATATGTCGTTATTTTCTTCGCTATTTGGCACTGAATGTAACGAACGGTGAATACGTAGAATCTTAGTGGCTTTGAGTGCTACGTCTGATGATATGACATTTGCCTTTCACAGAAGTTTGCATGCGTTGCACTATTTCAAGGATTCCTTCTTTTCGTTGTTAATCACTAGTGCGACTGCAAACTAGGCTTGCGTTACCCCTATCCCAGTGAACAAACATAATTTCTACTAAACGGAAAGATTGTTCACTTAATCTGATCTTCGCAGGCGAAGGCTCTACGATGAATACAACGATGAGGAGATTATTTTGACAAAGGACGAAATCAAAATGATCAATAAGCTACGGGAAGGGAGAACCCCACACGAGGGTGTCAACCCACATGAGGTACCATCTTATGAGCATTGTCTCCTGCTGCTACAACTACAGTGCATGTTCTTATATTTTCGGTTGCAGATGTTCCTTGAGTTTCTCACTACATCAAGGGAAGCAGTTTATGGAGACGATGAACCCTGTTGGGTAGCAAAATTTATGATGCTCACAACTGGCTCTTGATTTCCAGGAATACACTGACTGGTTTGAATGGGAGGATAAAGGCCATCCGTTGTCGAATGCGCCAGAACCCAAGCGACGTTTCATTCCATCTAAGTGGGAAGCTAAGAAGGTAACAATTCGATATGAACTATTTTGATCTGATGAGGTGGTGTACTTGTGCGAGATCTTTGCTTGCGCTCGGCTAGTGGAAAAACTCCAGTTTAATACTGATTCCTTCTATGTTCACCGCTGCTTGCAGGTTGTTAAACTGGTCCGGGCTTTAAGGAAGGGCTGGATCTCGTTGGAGAAACCCAAGGAGAAGCCTAAGTACTATATGCTATGGGGAGATGACCTTCAAACTGCGGAGAGAACTGCAAATGGATTAGCTTACATTCCTGCTCCGAAGCCCAAATTACCTGGTAACTAACGGCCTTAAGCTTTATATTGCGGGAATAATATCGTGGATGGTGAATCAGACAGCCTGAATGTTTTGCTCCTTTTGTCAGCCGGGCTTAAAAAACACTGGAAATAAGTTATATTGCATGAATTTCTGTCATCTGATTTCGTTGCCTTTCCTCCAGAGTTGACGTAATTGGTACTAACTTGACATGAGTTGCAACATACTCAGGACACGAGGAGTCTTACAATCCCCCTGAAGAATATATCCCAACACAAGAAGAGATCAATGCCTACCAACTCATGTATGAAGAAGATCGACCCAAGTACATCCCGAAACAGTAAGTGCTGTCAAGTTTGCGCACCTTATCAAGACGAAATAAACGTCTTTTCCTCCCTCTTTTCAAAATCTGTTATCATAACTGGCTCTTTGGTTATCAAGTAAAACCAAGATAGGTTTGATCTCCTTACCTTTTGAAACTTCTCACATTGTCCAGTAGTCTTTGGTTATAGCAGATGCCATGAGATCGACGAGAGGAGTCAGAATGTCATATGAGAGTATAATATCTGCTTTTTGTCTTCAAATATTTAGACTGTTCAGATCTATCGCTGACATTACGCTCATTTTTCGTCCACGCAAGGTTTGACTCACTTCGGCAAGTCCCAGCGTATTCCGATTACATCAAAGAGAGATTTGAACGTTGTTTGGATTTGTACTTGTGTCCACGTTCAAGAAAGAAAAGGGCAAGTATTAACCAACAGATCTTTGTGCTTCTCTTGTTGTATAATCACCTTCTATGTGTCTGTACAAGTTTTTGGAAGATCTAGGTGTCCGTCGGATTCTTACTACACAACATGTTTGTCTGGTTTGGAACGTTTGACTCTAATAGTTCAGGATATGTTAGGTGGAAATACGTTAAGACATTTTCTATTATCATACTATGTATGGCCTAGCGCCTGGTTTCCGTTTTATCTCTTCCTTGTACGGCTTGATGGGCCTTCCCATCCTTTCTTCTCATTCAATTGGCTCCCTAACTATTACCTTGCCTTGTACAGATCAATATCGATCCGGAATCTCTCGTTCCCAAACTGCCCAAACCCAAGGATCTTCAACCTTTCCCGACGACGTGTTATTTGGAGTTCCGTGGTCATACCGGCATTGTTTGTACTCTTGCAACATCTCCATCTGGAGAGTGGCTCGCTTCAGGTAAGAGCAGAATCTGTAGAGAGTGTCACCTTATTGACTACCCAGCTATTTGAACAGGTGAAACCCAATGACGCGTAAAGAGCAATTTCAAGCTCCGTACTTCAGAGCAGGTTTGTCAATAGTATCTTGGCAACTCAAGTGATGAACAGGGCTGGCGTTGTAGAGACATGAGAATCAGGCGAAAGATCAAGAAATAAACCTAAAGTCGCTAGTTTGGGAAGTGAGAATCAGAGAGATTAATGGAGGAAAAATAAGTACAAACAATAGTCGTTTCTGAGGGTTTGTACTTCTGTCACTACCAGTTGGCAACTTTGGCAAATGGAAGATTTGGCAAGTGGCTAGACTCTTGGAGGCTGCGTACTGTAAGTACACTCACGTTATTGATCAACACGTCCTCATTGGCTCTATCTGTGTAGGTTCACAAGATGGTAGTGTTCGCATATGGGAGGTACAGACTGGGCGGTGTCGGAAAATTTGGGAAATGGGTTCAGCCGTCAAACAGATTGCATGGAATCCAAACCCACAGATCAGCATACTTGCAGTGGCTGTGTAAGTTTTCTTTCATTAAAGTTCCTCACCTTATAGATAAATACCCAGTCCTATCAGAGGACGTATCTTACAAGTACATGCAAAATGTGCTTGTGTATTTCATTCTACAATGCATGTGGATTTGATAAACATCTCCTTAGCATTGAAACTACCGGTTTACTTTCAGGAAGTTTGAAGCACTTGGGATGTGTGAGATGAACTTGCTATGTCTTTTGTAAATTGATTTATATATTTATTTTTTGGGTAATGCTAAAGAGCAGATTTGTTTTGCAGAGAGAACGAGGTTGTACTCGTCAATTCTGAAACTGGTCCTGAGGAGGATGAAGCGAATTTACTAACTCTGCTGACCGTGGTACAAAAGCCTAAAGCAGTTGAAGATGGTAATATTCTTTTCACTAGAATCCCTATTCCGTTTTTGAATATATTGTACTGTAGATGTTGCGGAATTTGATCTTTCTCACCTTTTCTGCTTGTCCTTCCAGAAACTCCATTGACAAAATGGATACAACACGAGGAGTTCAAAGGCATAAGGTTGAGACATCACCATGTAAGTTTCTGTGATATAATGATCTTGTTTTGTCCAGATTCCGCAGCTTCTTTTAGTTTTTCTAAGCTGTACCCGGTGACTGCTAAGGCTTACTGGAGGATCTCATACTGTGGCTAAGTTTGATCTGATCCGCTTTCCACTGAGTGCTTTGTGATATGTGCAGGTGGTGCATTCAGTTGCTTGGCACTACAAAGGGGACTACATTGTTACCGTTGCTCCTGATGATATCCTTTCATTTGGTCTTACAATCTTACAGCGTTATAGTCTTAGTTTGATTTTTCCAGAATGCACTTCAGCTTGGCCCTCAGATAGATTGATGTTTCAGTGTGTATCAGAACTTCAAGAAGCCCTTTAAACGCAACAGTGTGAATGCTCTGAGTAATTTGAGAAAAGGAACCCCCTCATTTATGCTCAAAAATGTGCAGTAGGAAGGAGAAGTCTTTGGTTGGTGTCCTTGACTGCAAGTAGCTCACCTAACACAAGAGCCGTTCTTGTGCACCAACTATCAAAGCAGTTGACTCAAAATCCATTCCGCAAGCATCACGGACGTGTCGTAAGTGTGTTATTCCATCCCACGAGACCGTTCCTGTTCGTAGCCACCAAGATACATGTGCGAGTTTACAACCTCGCCAAGCAGCAACTGTCTAAGAAGTTGTTGACAAGCTTACATGAGATATCTTCTATGGCTGTTCACCCAGGAGGTAAGCCAGGCATCACTTCACCTGTTTGGCCTCCATTGTTATGTTGTCTGGTTTGTCGTTTTCCACACTTCCGCTTTGAAACGTTAAGCCTTTCATGTATGAACCCCATCTATACAAATTGTGGGGCACACGAACCCCAACATGGGGTGCCTATGAAATGAAAGTCCAGCATACTATCATGCTTTCTTGATGTCTTTATAACCAATTATCGTGAACTGTCATACCCAGCATCTATTTATATCTTCGTGTATACTGTTCGTCTCAAAATGTGTGTGGTGAATGATTGACAGGTGACAATCTTATCCTTGGAAGCAAGGAAGCAAAGCTCGCCTGGTTCGACATGGACTTGTCGACCAAACCTTACAAAATTTTGAAGTAATTGTCCATACCAACCGTTGAATAGTAGATCGATTGCTTATTGCAACGTATAATCCCTTCGGCTCTGTATTGGATGTTAGTGGTTGCGAACTAGTGCTGGAAACGAATCAAACCTAACCATCGAAGGATGAAACCATGAAATGGTTCTTCTGCATTGTCGTGTTGAACAGAAATCACAGCCGAGATATTAGGAGCGTTGCCTACCACAAAAAGTACCCTTTGTTTGCAACGTGCTCCGACGATTCTACAGCGCATGTCTTTCACGGAATGGTGTACTCGGATCTTTTGCAAAATCCACTAATTGTTCCAGTTAAAGTGCTACGCGGGCATCAAAACGGTAAGTTTTTTAGATCTGATGACCACAATTGTTCCTTCTTGTTAGGAGATATGTTGCACGGCCACAGGCGTTTTCTTACTGAGGCTAAATGACGATTTTGCGATCAAACTGGTTAAGAGTACACTGACAGACTGTACTTTCTTGTCTTCTAGGTATTTTTGATTGTGAGTTCCACCCCAAGCAGCCCTGGTTATTCACAGCAGGAGGCGATGAAGTAATCAGGTTGTACTGTAACTAAGGGAATTTAGTTCGACTAACTCTAATTTTTTAACGACTTCACATATGTGATTCTCAGCCCAGCAGAATAGATTCATTAGGCCGGCTAAATTTGCCCAACTACTGAAGTTGGTGAGTCTTGGAGACAATAGGATATGTAATTTACTCGTGCAGAGCAGGTGTTGCACGGGAGTGTGCACACAAGCACACAATTGTATACGAATTTATTAATGTCAACACATGGGCTTTTTTGATGACCAACTATCGCACGTCGAAACTGTTCAATATGTATATTGCGTCTTTCGCTCTGCCTCTTTGAACAGAATGAAGGTTTGGTATGGTATTTGTGCTGAAGCTTGCGCTGTGTATGGACATGCCGGAAGGTACTACTTTTCCATGAATCGATGTGTACTGGAAACCAAGGAATATCTAATCTCTCTGGTGAACTTCACTCTATTGGAACGTAGTGCTACATGACAAAACCGGGCGAACTGATTGTTCTGTGTCTCTGACGGACAAAAGGGGCCAATAAGTGCACGCGCACCTGGAGGAATCTGAAGTGATATGATTGAATGAAGTGCATGAAACTAGTGTTTAACGAGTGAAGAGATAACCATGAACATCGAGGCCCGTGAACCCCACGCGTTGCCGTCTCTGCCCATTCCACCCCTTGGTTTCATCTGAACCCACGTGAAAGCAAACACTTTTAGGAGTGTATTACCGCACCCAAGCTGCGAAACCATACGTGGAATAACTCCAGAAAAAACGTCAGCTCTAGAGAGAAGACACCGATGGCGAAGAGACCCAACAATCAAGTTGCATTGCCGTGGACGTGTGGACCTTCAGTTGTGTCTCGTTCCGATGCGGAGTGGGCGCCTCGAGCCAGGATCATCTTAAATGCAAACCTCGCATAGAAACAGGAAGGCCTCGGCGCCATGTGACCACGACGGATCGATGAGCGTCAGGCGTCTTGGCCCTACCGCCGTCAGTAGCAGTAGCCGTCGTCGGCCGGATGCTCCGAGACCTCACGAAACGCCCTGCTCCAGTGCCCGCTGCCCAGCCAGCTTTACGCAGGACCACAGCATATGCCTCATGACGTAAACATGGCCGTCGTAGACGAGGACACGAGAAGGTCATATGCGGAATCCCTAGTCCCCGCTTCAGAGTCCAGACGCAAAGCAAGAGCCTGGCAAAAGGTAACCGCAAGAGTAAAGCATCCGGATCGCGCATAATCTTGGGATCTCGAGATTGTGCGCGTTCCGACACGATTCGGCCTGTCGTGTCGTAGGCCGAACATTGCATTGGCTTACAATTTCTCACATGCGGCGGTGATGTATTGTACTTGATCTCTGTAACAATCGTATAAGTGTCATATTTAAATATACTGTACTGCATAGTAAAATCCAAATATATTCTTGATGAAGCTAATGAATTAGGTTCATAGAATATTATTTGATCACTTGATTAATATTTATTTTCTATAATTATTGATTAATATTGATATATATATATACATATATATCTGAAAATTTTGATTCCATAGTGTATAAATTGAACGCTGTACGTAATTGTTGGTAATTTTATTTATTTCGGAATTACCGTTGATTTTTTAAATTGAAAGATGTTTGTGGAGTTCTTATTGAATATATTTCTTTCCATGGTTTTTTTTTGGTAATTAGCTGGAAAGATATGCATATTGTATTCTGAGTGTTGTTATTGGTGTTAAAGATTGTTAAAATGTAATTATTCATGTGACAAGTGTTAAGGTTTGTGGTTTTGCATTGGATTGTGATAGATGTTGTACATTGAGTCATTATATTTCTCTTTGTGTTTGATTTGGGTAGTTGTCACCTAACTTAAAACACACATGGCTTCAATTATCCATAGTTACCATGAGATATGTTTTTCATCAATATTTTTCACCCCAGCAATTTTTTTTAATTTTACATATGCATTCTTAATAGACTTAAGTATCTTTGACACCCACACATTTTTTTAGTATATTATCTGATAAGTTGTCAATTTAATGATATGAAAAGTTTTACGTAAAGTCAAATACTCAATCATTTTTTTTCAATCTTATGTGGATACATGATTTTATTGTTGATATAGATTATGAAACATGTCACAACTTGTGTTACAAAAATGCTAGTTAAGTAGATTTGCAAATATACGAGCATATTTTAAGCTTACAATTTCATTTGGATACAAAATTTTATTGTTGATATAGACCATGACGCACATCGCAACTTGTGTTACAAAAACACAAATTAAGTAGATTTCCATATATACAAGCATATTTTAAGCTAAAGAATGATTTTATTGATATGATTCAAATATTTTTATAATTCTAATCAATTAGTTATTGATATATAAACGAATGTTTTTGAAGCAAGTTTTCTTGAATGCAATCTTTTTAACATGAGAGACTAGCTCTATTGGAGAAAGATCTAGTGCAAGACCGTAAAGCATGCTTCATAAAATCTGGTATTTAAAAAATAGATCGCCAAATTTGTCACTTATTAATTCGGTCACTTTGTCAGAATTAATTTGGCCAAAAAGACATAGGTTACAAAGACGTAAAACAAATGGCACACTTATAGTTGCAAAGCATTTGAACGTTCTAAAGGTAAAATCATTGAGGGGAGGAATGAATTAGCGTAGGAGATTTCGACACTTTGCCAAAATTAATCTGGCCAAAATACCATATAGTCATAAACACGGCGGACACAAAACACACCTATAGTTGGAAAGCATTTTGACGTTTTAAAGAGAAATCATCAAGGGGAGGAGTGAATTCGCGTAAGAGATTTTGACAAGGTCCGTCGTGAACTGCTTCATGATGAAAAGCCTGCATGCTAAGAAATATAACCCTCGCACCAACCGAACAACACCTTTTTTTTATTCATGCAAAGTAATTCAAAACGTTCAAAATATGTATTGCCGAGACATCGGACGTAAAAATACTGAAATGAAAATACTCATGCCAGAAAGGCCATTACTTAACTGAGTTCTATTGATATAGGAAACTTGTTTTTTTTATCAATTCATTTTTGTTTATGTGACTAACTATTAGTTTAATATTGCTTTTAGTTCATTTTGTCAACTTGGACTGAAATGGTAAAGATTGAATAACCATCGAGTTGATTTCAATCCAATTAAGACATATATGAAACTTCTAAGATTTAATTTTGGCAAACCGGACATTTGCTAAAATTTACGAGGACTGCCTTGAAGTCTTTGAGGTTAAAGTTGATTGACTGCAATCAATTTTTTTAGGTTTTGTTTCCATTAAACTTACTCCAACAACTAAAACTCATCTAAGCTCTGTTATAACTACAACCACAGTTCAAGCTTGTTGTCACTGCTCAATCATGCATCATGATCATCCTGACTTGCTTCAATGATCTAATTGTAACTATCAAGAATGCATTTAGTTAGATCACCAATTTTTATACTACTCTTTCAACTATGAATGTGATATTAATCTTAAAACAACATCAACTTGAATGATTTGTGACCAATTTCATTGAAAAATGTTAGTTATGTATGATGTCAACAAATTTGTGATGACCATTATGAAATACATAATAAAAATCTTTGATTTTGTTGCAATCCATGAAGGTTTGAAGAACCAAGTTAATGTTTAGAAATGTTTTGGTTGTAAATAATTGCTCGTGACACATTAATATTTTTTTAATTAGCCACACTCTTTCAATGGACAGAAAATAGGATGAGTTTTTACTAAACCTTTTGTTTGGTTTGATGACTCTATGGTTCTTCATATCTTGTTGACACATGATATGGTACATCTGTATATTTATTAGGAAAATCTTTTTTGAAACCACATGCTACACTTAATCTCCGCCTAGCAAGCAGCCTTTCGTTAGGTTACAGAGTCCTAAATTCCGGAATCCAGACGCAAAGGGAGACGACGGAAACAGGGAACCGTAGAGGAACTTATTAGTCATCCCGAGCTTTCCGACACGATGCGGCCTGTCGTGCCACCGTGTCACAGGCCGAACATTGCGTGTCACAGGCCGAACTACGCTTTTAATTGCTAATTGCTAACATGCGGTGGTGTACTGTACTTGGAATCTTCCAGGAATCTGTATGAGATTACACTATATTTACCACTTTATTGTGGTATATAGACAGAAAGTACAAGAAATGTAGACAAAATTTAGAAGACCCATGAATTGGGACATGAATGGATCCAAAATGGGTAAGATAATTCTATTCACCACTAATTTCACAATAGAGATTACATAATATTGCACATTATATACCATAATTATCTGGATACAGTCTGTATATGGTGATACAAAGATTACTGTGTTGATGATGTTAGCACTGGTTGGTATTTTTCTTTATTAGGACAGTCAATTTTCTCTTTCTGTATTTTCCTACCTCCATCGCCTCATCTTATTCCTCCTCTAGTTGTAGTGGGGAAAGACTGAGGTCTGTGCCGAACGGCAAGCACAGCCACGGCCTCGGCCGACTTTAATTTCACTTTTTCTGTGGTCCAAGTGAAATGGAACCGCAATATTCGCGAGTTTTGTCTTCAATCACAGGGCGCTAATCTATTCGACGAATCTGCGATCGGGCCGCCCTCCTCTGAAAGGTCACGATCTAATGGCAGTGACAGCTCAGCTCAGAGATAAGTGAAAACCCTACGCTGTGCACCGTCGCTCGGTCGGTCGAGCTCGGTGCTTGTTCGCGTGCGTGCGGTGTGCTGGAGAGCGAAGGAGTGACTGAGGAGAGTTGCCTTTTCTTGCTCTTGAGGCGCACTTCATCGTCCTCTTTCTCTCGCTCTCATCGTCGCCTCTGACGCTCCCGCTGCTGCTGCTCGTCTTCGGAAGGGATCTCGGTCCCTGTTTGTGATCGCGTCTTCGTTCACCACCGCCGCCATCATGTTGGTGTACCAGGATGTCATCACCGGAGACGAGCTTCTCTCCGACTCTTTCTCCTACAAGGAGATTGAGAACGGAATTTTGTGGGAGGTCGAAGGCAAGTGGGTCGTGCAGGGATCAGTGGAGGTGAACATCGGGGCGAACCCGTCCGCTGAGGGAGGCGATGAAGATGAGGGCGTGGATGACACGGCCGTGAAGGTTGTGGACATCGTCGACACCTTCAGGCTGCAGGAGCAACCGACCTTCGAGAAGAAGGCGTTCATCACCCACATCAAGCGCTACATCAAGGCCTTGACACCTTTGGTCGCGGAAGACAGGAAAGATCTGTTCAAGAAGAATGTTGAGGGCGCCGTCAAATTCTTGCTCGGCAAGCGAGCGGATCTGCAGTTCTTCGTTGGTGAGAGCATGAACGAGGAGGGATCTCTGGTTTTCGCCTACTACAAGGAGGGACAGACCAACCCTACATTTATCTACTTTGCAGACGGGTTGAAGGAGATCAAGTGCTGAGCTCTCCTTCTAGCTTGCAGATGAGAATATTTTGATACTTATAGGACGTTCGACGCCTTTCATCAGACTCTTGCTGCCACCCCGCTGAGCACACGAACTGTGTGGATTTCTTTCCATATGATTTATTTATTTTTTCCGGATTTAAGATCAAGGGTTTCTGATGTTGAGGAGTGAGAGAGTAGAAAAGTAGGGAGGCAGGGAGGGATGCAAACAGAACAAGTGTGAGCTGTGGATTTACAATCATTTCAGGTGATGCCAGCAGGAGTGAGCCGGCCGGCGTTGTGTTCTCACCTGGCACGGATTGACTCTGCAGTTTCTGGTTGATCACCAATCCTGCCGTTAGGGTAGGAGACTCTTGTCTGTTTTGCTTACGATCTTGCGACACCATTGTAATACATACTAGGAAATGGTGATAGATTGCTCTTAGTCATGGTCACAGGGGCTGCACTGCTAGGTGGGAGGAAACTCTCGTCATGTTTTCTTATGGCCCCTATGAAATTCATCACTTCAGGAGTGCGCAGATCGGTCTTTGTTGATCATTGCTAGTAGGTTTTTGAGGCCCATTTCTCATACTTCGAACTATACATAGCATACGCGGAAATGCGTCAGTGTTGAATAATACGGTTGGAATTTGAAGGATCTTTGGTTGTGGCCCATGACCATGATGCAAAGGCGGTTTCAAGCATCATTTCTTTCATCGAGTTGCATGGAGAGTTTCAAATATTTTCGTAGAAAGTTCTGTTGTAGTGTGTATGTCTAAAGTTGAGTGTGTATTGCGCTCTAATAGTTCGGAGGGTTAAAAGCATTGCACAATCATACAGGTAAACTTAAAGTGAAGCGTCTAGCCTAGAGAAGGTAAGTTTCTTCATGCGGTTTTGTCTAAATGTTGGTACGAAAGTGAATCACCCGAAGTCATGTCGTCGGGCTGAATGGTGTGTGTCATAGTAAATGGGAAAAAATAGATGCAATGAGGGAATGTTCTTAAGTAGATAGTGGCAATGATAATTACATCTGTAGCAACCAACAGTGACAATTTTTAAACGCAGTGTACACAAATAGCAACACGAAGAAGATGATTATTATATACATACAATAGTATAATAAAATCATATCCAACCATTTTCATATTTATTAAAACAACTTTCGCAACTATCTATTCCATTATCTGAACATAATTACAAGAAGTGTGAAAGGTAAAATATCAACAAAATTTTTTCAATGCACACGACACTTAATTAAAACAAAAATAAAACAACGTAAAAAGTAAATGTAACGAAAGATTGATAAACATAGTCATTTTCCTTACACTAAATAAGATCATATTCACTATACACATACTTATATTGTTCTGCAAAAGCTTGAAGAAAAAAATACGTTAAATTTACTCCTGTAAATACACAATCAAAACTGACATTGCACTGTAAAAATATGTCACTCAAATCCATGTCTGCTATTCTAGTGTAGAGGGAGATTTTTAGACACACATGCAAACTTCCAATCCTGATTATGCATCATAAGCATATAATTGTTGGAACATGAATGTGCGCTTGTGAAGCAAGAATTATGGTACATTCGTGATTTCTAAAGTTGAATATTGTAACTTAGCAGACATGTCCTCGTGAAGTAGAATTTACTAATCTACGGAACGAAACCGTTTCCTGACAGGATATTCCACTCAATTTCGACATCAAGCACTAGTGTAAAATCAAATATGAATTCAGTTGACAATCCAGTAGGCACGAAGTTCAGGGCATTGCTGGAAACACACAAAGGCATCGGAGAGTGTGTTTGAATCTTCCGAAATCTCGAGGGCATTAACCTTAGTGCTAACAATGGTCACCAGATGTGACCAGAGACAATGTGTAAGAAATTGATCACTCTCAGATCCTTCATGCCACTGCACATTTTCCCATGTATACGCACCTGGAACTAAAAACGAACACCATCAAGATAACCTGCCCTTCAGGATTGTGACGAGGCGGTTTAGCGACGATTGGACATTCTAGAAACCTCTTGCGGTTTACTACTCATCATGCTAAGCATGCTGCCAGATCCATCTACCATTCAGCTGAAGGTGCCCTGACAACGGACCAATTTACGTGAAGAATGTGTTGAGAAGTGTGCCAGCCATTACAAGAACTGCACCACCTTGAAGATATACGCGACCAGATTTTTCGTCTACTCGCACTGAGATGTGACCTCCACGTTCCGAGGCTTGATATGCCTCCAAGCTCTCCTTCCCAAGCTTTGCAGCCCAGTAAGGACCTAGTGTACAGTGAGCGCTACCAGTGACAGGATCTTCAGTAATGCCTAAACTGGGAGCGAAAAACCGTGATACTATATCAAACTCACTATCGGCTGATGCTCTTGCTGTGGCAATGAAGCCTCTTGCACCTAATTCCTTCATCTTCTGTTCATTCGGTTGCAACTGTACTACCTCCTTACTGGATGAAAGCTCCACAAGGTAATCGCCAATTTCTGTTCTGCCGACCCAGACAGCTTTCGCTCCCATGGCATCTGCAACTTTTTCCGACTCTGAGATATCGACTTCTGTGGCCATGTTCAGTGGAAAATCCAGCTCTACAACACCTTTCCCTAACTCTACTCTATTCGGATACTGTACTTTCTCGTCCTCATCGCCATCCTCTACTGGTACATCCTCGCTATTTTCGTCATCATATCCTGCAACTTTCGACGCTCTCAAAGTTCCTGTCTTACTGTGAAATATTATGGTATCTCCTTCCACCAAGCCGGACGAAAATAACATGTGTGCTGATGCTAGCGTTGCATGCCCACAAAGTTCCAACTGCAAGGTCACCAGCCATGTTTCAGGAGACTCTCAGTCAATGAAATCATTAGGCCCGTCAAGCTCAAACAACTTAGTTCTTTTTTTCTTTTTCCAGTTAAACGGTGTGAACAAGAAGTCATCTGTCTGCAGTTCAACAAAATTTGACGGTGATGTTTTGATCCTGCGAAAGAACAGAGATGTGCACTTTCAAATCCCAGTCATTGCGATTATAACATACCTCAGAATTGGTTGTGAACCACCTGATGTCAAACTCATTTTCTATCGGAGCTGTATTCCTCTTTACAGACTTCAAATCATTTCCTGTTTCGTCTACAGCAATAAGTGGAGAGCCTCCACCCTCTGATAACCTTGGTGATTTACTAGGTCGGCGCTTTACAACAAAGGCAGTGGCAGGTAGATTGAATTCCTTGGCGATAAGCTTAAACCATTCGTCGTTCCTCTCATATGGGATATAACACACTGCCGCTGGGTTGCCTTTGAATGGCTTGTTTGTAAACGTATTGATCTGCATCCGAAATTGAAGTGTGAGATGGACTATGCAACAAGGCTACTACGTATTACATTAAAACATATTGGTGAATCACCACATTTACTTTTCCGGAGCATTTCAGATACAGCAAAAATATGGATAAAAAATGGATGTCATATATACTCACAGGCACCAGCATGTATGGGTCAAATCACATACAAACCAGCAATCCAGAATGCTATTCCTACTTCTACTTTCAATAATTTCAAAAACAACTCCTATGTCGTGCAGCAGGACCTATCAAACTGAAGATCTCTAACCGAGAATACGTCCATTCAAGTCGAGTACAGTGCAGTGTATATAAAATGGCCAGCAGGCCACAGCTGCTGCTTGGTCTTCACAATGCATGTCCAGTCCTTTCGGCCAGTGCGAATATATTTGATTGCAGATTGAGGTGCATTATTTACTAAAGGACTGACTTTATTGGGTTCTTTAACTGTGAAAAAGGCAATGTTGGCGCCTTGCATTCCCTATCCCACAAAGATACTACCATGGTATTGACTCGGAAACAACAATTGGTCGCGGTAGGCTATAATCCATCTGAAAATGAGGGAGTAATGCATGGATGCCATAACAGCGATATCTTCGTGAAGTGGTTATATTTGATGCCAGTGCCCCTCGAGACACAGTGCACATCCTCGTCGCAACAAGTCAACCAAAATTTAATCCCCTAGGGGAATATAACCATCTCTATAGAAAGCACCCAAGATTTAAAAATACCACACTTACACCTAATCGATATTGTCGAAGATACATTCATAATCAGCTTATATTTGACAGAAAAACCTTCAGCCAGAACATGAACCAGTAATGACAGATTCTAGTAGCTCTGAAATCAGACACACCTTCTGCATCTAAAACATCAATCACAGTCAAAATCTCAAAAGAGGGAAAGTTCGAAACTGTGTACATACCTGGGCAAAGTCTATTTGAGCAAAAAGTTCGTCCTCGTAATTATATTTCTTCGCTGCTTCTTCAAGGTCTTCTTCCGAGAGGCGCTGCAGAACTTCCTTCATGAGCTCTGATCTCTTCTCGCCATCTAAGCTAACAGATCCTTCGGGAGAACCCTCGAAAGGAAGGTCCTCCAAGACCGTATCGGCATCGTCATTATCGACCCAAGACGAGGACGAAGAAGACGAAGAAGCTGAAGTCGAGGCAACATAATCATCCCTCCAATCTTTGGAAGCAGAAAAACATCGCTGGGACTTCATCGCATTCCTCCCCAATCGTTGAGAACGCGGAGCCTCCCTCCCAACACGAGCAAGCCTAACCCGCAAATCATCACAGCTCGCACTCTTCGCAGAGGAGCTCTTCGGAGCTGACGCCAGACATCTGAGACGTGCTGTAGGCCCAACAGGGCAATTCAGCCACAAAGAATGGCAGGCCATGGCTCCAATTTGACCCGCTAAAACCCACCACCTCGACTCGATTCGACCCTCCAAAACCCCACTCTCGCCTCACGATCTGCCCAACTGGATCAACCCACAAACTCCTCGATCTGCGGCGGCTTATGTCTTCCCGTGCTCATAGAGAAAGAAGAACCATTGGCAAATTCAAAGCCCTGCGACTTTTGTCGACAGAAGAATCGGCGATTTGTTCGAGGAGCAAAAGCGGACGAAAGAGTGACAGTAAGCGCCCGCCCGACGCCCGACGCCCGACGCCCGGCGCCCGGCCCCCGGCCCCTGCATGGATGGATAGATGGACGGACGCACGGTAGCACGGATGGACCTCCGTTCCGTTCCGGGCTCGAGAGCTCGAACCTTCCGGACCCGTTGTACAAACCCAGTTACGCTTTGAATTCAAACATTCTCGTGACGCGACGGCTCCTCCTTTCTCCAGTACAGTGCGGCCGACACAAACCTCTGACCGCGACGGCTACTTTCCCTTTCAAGCCTCACCGGCGACGAACAGCTGGTCGTCAACGGAGTTCCAGCGGTTCCTGCGAATTTCAAAAATGTTCATCCATCCATTTTTCCATCTATCCGTCCATCTATCCATCGCTGGTCCGTCCACCGGACGGCACGAGTCGCAAGGGCCAAGATGCTTTCTTCTTCGTTGCATTCAAAGCCAGGACGCTTTAGGATGTATCGTTTATGTATCATGCACAACTTAAGGAACTCGTGTCCGCAGTCGTTACGCTGAGCTGGCTTGATAACCGGGTTCAGGGTTAAGGCCGACGAATTTGCACGAGTGCTGAAGTATTTAGCCTGTACAGATTTCGGTCCCTGACGACCTGCCCGTATAGCTGAGATTAGGTTAAATGCGTCCGGGCTTTCTATTTGCCTCAATATCAATACCTTTGTATGCGCAGTTTGATCTTCACGGAGTTTAATCTTCACTGCGATATTGTTCCCCATTAGATCGGCACTTTTGCAGATCCTTCTGTTCGTCTAACATGACGACAGGCCAATATTCCTAATGTATGTGGGCGAAACTAACCTTCACAGAACTGTAATCGATTATTGCAAATCTCATGTATCAGGATATTTGATGGAGAAGCGCGATCCAAGAATAGAGACCGGAAATCTCGAGTGAATTTACACATTAGTTGCAAGACTGCGGAAGATGAGATGAGAAGAACACAAAATTGAATTTTAAATTCATTTATTACAGCACAACATACATATATGTTATATCAAATATTATAATATGTTACTTTTACACATGAAATAAATGTCTTTTGTACAATCAGAATTCAATGAGTAAATGTAGTCTATTCAATTCAGTTTTGAATTTCAAACTTTTATATTAGCTACTATTAGTCAAAGTCTCAAATCATCTCATGTAACTCTAATTCAAATTCTAACTTTTATATTTAGATTTCATAATGATATTATTGGCTGTTAAGTCAACATGATTGTAGATCATATCAATCACAATCCATACTTTAATTTCTAAATAAACATGAATTTTTTTGAAAAATCTATGATGATGCAATCATTTATCAATATGATTATAAATGTTGCAACATCAAAGCTACGAACTCAAATATCACAGCACCTTAAAAGGAATCATAGTTTCATCAAGTTTGATTAATTTTCTCTAAAGTTTAATCATTAGCATAAAACATCTATAATGAATTTATGAGTATGTTTTTTAAATTAACATTTTCATTATTTAGATTCTTTTAACATATTTAACATACTAATATTTTTAATTATTAGTTCATATTTTTTTGACTTTGATTTACTTATAAAATTTATGAGATTTCTTTATTTTGATAATACATTTGTCTTTTTTGCTTGCTAATCGCATTACAAAAAATTTCATCATCAGTTTTACATCGCATTGAATATGACTTTAAAATATGTCATACATAGTAGATAACATCTACATTAGCAACAAATGCATAGAAGTTGATTCATCAATCAATTCACACAATCTATAACAAAAATTTAGCAAAAAAAAAAAAGTTTAGATAAATGACATAAAGCAAGAATTGACAATATTGATTCAAAAGTTGCAAAATAAGAATTTATTTTTAATATGATTGAAAATATCAACTCAAAATTTGATAATTCAGTATGAGACATGCTTAAAAAACATGTCTCACATTATTAGCCATCAAGATTCAAATAAATTACAAATTGATCAATTTGATGATATAAGATTGCAAATCAAAACATCTGAACAACAATTTTAGTGAAATCATTGTTGATTGCATCCTAAACTAACCTTCTAAGGTTAGTTTGATTGAATGATAAGTTAATTTTACAAATGAACAAAATACAAGATGACTTTCAAAGTTCATTGGATACACAGATTATTATTTAATTTTTGCAGAAAAATTCAAATATTTTCACCAAATTTTATTTGCACTCAAAATTAAGGCAAACTGTTTAAACAACTTTTTAAAACATTCTTTCTAACCAATCTAATCTTATAAATTTACATTCAAACATTTGCAAAACAAACAAAATAATTGTATACCTAATCATACTCATATACATATATTTTCACTATGATTATAAATATTGCATTTTTCAAATTTTTTTACACATCTAATTATTTGAATTAGCTATTTGCAACAAATTTTTTTTTGAAGCAAATGTGTTCATTTATTTTTCTTTTATTTGCAACTTTCATAGAAAAATATGTTATGAAAGAAGATTTTAAAAAATAATCACTTGCATTCGTAAATGCTTTCTGATGATATGATTATTGACCTACTTTATAGACCTACTTAAAGAGACTATGAAACTGATTCAAAATTTGTATTAATTCATGCATGGAGATCAACATATGCACTTTTGCATTGTTACAAGATGGATATTGCAACAATATCCATATTGTGAAGTTAATTTTGAGATTTCATAGATGCTACTTATCTATAAATAGTTTTTAAAGTCCATCATACTTATTGACATGAAAATTTATCAACTTAGTTTGCTTTCTCACTAATATATTTTACTTGTCAACATTTTATTTTTCATATTTAGGAGTTGATCATTGCAACTTTTGAATTTTCTTAGACAAATTAGTTTCAAGCAGTGATATTTTATGCATGATACAAAGTACCTTCATATAATTCAACTACTTTGGTTTCCAACACAAATACAAATTTGTCTAATTTTAGAATGGTAAGAAGTAAAGTAACATTGATATCATGTTGAAGTTGCATGTATGTTGGTATCATGCAACTTTTTTTAAATGTGCACTTTAGATCTAGAAATCTTACAACCTTGAATTGCATGATCATATGTCAAAAAATATAAATAATTTGTATGTTTTGAGCTGATGGCAATCAAAAATTAGCTAATTCAATGATATTTGATTGTGTTGATTATCCTCAATTTCATTGCTAGATGGTGCAAGCTATTGTCATAGATTTCACATTATCTCATCCGATCTTGTCAAGACAACATCAGATGAGATTTGGTAGAATTACAATCAACTTATAGATTTGCTAGACTTGTTGAAATGTGAAAGTAAAATTTCAAAGTGTTTGTTTTATCACTCCATTTCATTTATATTCAGTATGAAATTTCATGAATTTTATGAAAATCAACCAATTCATTTGAGCATATACATGAATAAAAATCAAATAACATATAAACTACTCAGTATTTCAATTTTTTTAAATTTCACATCTACTTGTTGTACATGTGTGACAATGATCTCAATTAATAATCATCTATGTAATCTTAAAGATATCAACATGTCATAACTTGTGTAGAGTCTCATACGTTGTTTGTTGAGGTGTAAAGATTTGATTCAAATTGTACATAATGCTTTTATGGAAATAGTTTTGCATCATGTTGTCTTTATATATATTGTTTTAACCTCTTGTATCAAATAATTTAACTAGATTCATTGCAAACGAGAATAAACATCTTTTCACTGTTCAAATCATACTTGTAATTTTTTGAAAATGACTTTCATACCAAAATTTAATTCCATAAAATTACATCCAACAATTCAAATTTTACTTGTCAATCAATTGCTTTTTCATATTGTTTGCAAAACTTGTTATATAATTTTGAAAAAATATAGATACATCGCAAAAAAACAACATTAATTTTTTTCTTCTATTTAGTCAAATTTTTGAGTATATAGAAAAAATTCATGTTGTTGAAAATATCATAATTTGATAGGTGTTTTTTTTTTTTTTATCAATTTTCAAGTATTCACAACTTGAATGACATTATTATCCAAATTGTGAATATGTTAAGTGAGCACGCTTTATTGTAAAAATTTGCAAATAATAATATTGCATAATACAACTTTTAACAAAAAAATTTGAACGTAAATTTGTTCATGATTACTTAAATTTTGGGACGTTCAAGTAAATTTTAATCTACATGTAAGAGACGGTTGTTGTTTTTCATCAATCACATTGGATTTTCACAAATTATGTATTAGACATTAGGTCTTTATGACAACAATTTTATACTCTTTGAAACAATCTAGTCTCAAGTGTTGAGCTTAACTCCGATTAAGGAGTAATCTCAGGTGCTAGCTATACATAGTTAGGTTGGTCGCAGGGCTTAACTCCGGTTAAGGAGTAATCTCAGGTGCTAGCTATATATAGTTAAGTTGGTCGCTGATGTTGGGTATATATATCCAGGATCTGTGTATCACCAGAAAAAAAGATCTGTATAATTTCAAACTGTTATTACTCCGTGGACGTAGCCCTTCACGGTAAACAACGTAATACATTGGTAATCTCGTGTTGGTGGCTTGAATGTGTCACTGTGTTTTTCAAGTTTTACACTTACAATTGGTATTAGAGTAGATTTTGATTTGAAATTTGCGTTAGAATCTCTAACTATTTAGAAGATTGTGTTGTTTAATTAATTATTTTCCTAATGACGTTTTTTCAAATGAAGGATTATTCAACTTTTAAACAGTTTTTGGTTTGAGAATTTGGTAGTGTTTGGACTTGTCGACAGTTTTTTCAAAGATAGTCTTAATGTTTTTTTCAGGTTGTAGAGAGATTTGTCACGAGAGATTAAGCAAAGACCCCAACGAATGATCTTTGGAATAAGATCAATAGAAGGCGCTATTAGTTCTTAAGCTCGGTGTACCTCCTTGGAGGATTTTCATCGGAAATGTGTGCGTGTTTTTTTTGCCACGTTCGGATTTGAGTATTGAGGAGGAG